TATATGACACAGTCTGAAGGTTTTGTCGACCAAAAAAATGCTAGGAAAGTTTGTAAGCTTAAGAAATCCATTTATGGACTAAAGCAAGCAAGCAAAAGTTGAAATCTGCGATTCGATGAAGCCATCAGTAAGTTTGGTTTTATCAAGAATCCAGATGAATCTTGTGTTTACAAGAAGGTTAGTGGGAGTGAAATCGCCTTACTAGTCTTATATATCGATGACATATTGCTCATTGGAAACAGCATTCCGTTGTTAGAGTCTGTAAAGGCCTGGCTTGGAAAGTGCTTCTTAATGAAAGACTTGGGAGAGGCCCAATACATACTAGGCATCAAGATCTATAGGGATAGATCGAAAAGGATGATTGGATTGAGTCAGAGTACTTATATTGATAAGGTACTTGCTCGATTTGGCATGGAGGAGGCCAAGAGAGGTCACCTGCCAATGTCACATGGCATAACCCTAAGCAAGAAGCAGTGTCCACAGACACTTGATGAGCGGGTAAGAATGAATCAGATTCCATATGCTTCGCTTATTGGATCGATCATGTATGCCATGATATGTACTAGGCTAGATGTATCGTATGCCTTGAGTGCTACGAGCCATTACCAATCAGACCCAGGAGAGGCGCATTGGACTGCGGCCAAAAATATCCTAAAGTATTTGAAAAGTAACAAGGATAAATTCCTGGTGTATGGTGGTGCAGAGGATTTAGTTGTGGAAGGTTATACCGACACAAGCTTCCAGACAGACAAAGACGATTTCAAATCGCAATCTAGATATGTGTTCTGTCTAAATGGAGGGGCGTTTAGTTGGAAGAGCGCAAAGCAGAGTACAACTGCAAATTCTACAACTGAAGCCGAATACTTAGCAGCTGCTAAAGCAGCTAAGGAGGCTCCTTGGATTCGTAAGTTCGTTGGTGAACTTAATGTTGTACCCTCTATAAAGGGTCCAATAGCCCTCTATTGTGACAACAATGGAGCTATTGCTCAGGCCAGAGAGCCTAGGGAACATCAGAAGGTCAAACATGTCAAGCGGCGATTTCACATGATTCGAGAATGGAAATCAGAGGTTGAAATCAGAATTTGCAAAGTTGGAACGGATGACAATGTAGCCGATCCACTTACTAAACCTTTTCCTCAAGTGAAGCACAACAAGCACGTTGAGGCAATGGGAATCAAGCATGTAGGAGACTGGCTTTGATTTCTTTGTTTAGTGTTTTAGTTAATTTTGAGAAAAATTAATGTAAGACGCTAAGGAAAACCATTCAAGTTTTGGAGTAATATAAAATTTCATGCAATATTTTATTACTCCGTTATGCTATTTAATTGTGGTTTAGGATTAAATAATGAGTCCATTCAATTCTCAGAATATTCAAAAAAGGGTATCAAGACCAGTCTTGGTAAGGAAACACCTATTAAGTGAACATTGAATATTATAATCGAAAATTATCCCTAATCAAGGTCATTTAAACGATGGACGATTAATGACCGATTGAGATTAGTGTGTAGTTTGATTTATAGCACCGTTTCATGTGCTACAAGGATATGATTGTCATAAATCATTTGCACAGGTATTGGTTTAGAACCATACTGGATCGACCTATGAGAATACTTTAAGAAATTAAAAAAAATTGTCATAAGTATACTTCTCATTATGGCTATCGGAACCTATTTCCTCGACCATGCGTATTGTGATTTCTCTTGTTTGAGTACTAATTCACTTTGATGTTGTCAAACGTCTGCCGTAATAGGGGATTATAACGGCAACACTCGGGCGACTAGGTCCTCTCAGTAAGAGGAGCTACATTACAAGATTGGGAATGTCCCCCTACTAAAATAGGGAAGATGTCTTTGTTGTATACAAGGCCTCTCGTAGAGCGAGACTGTAAAATGCATGGCCGTGCTCGGGTGGATTTTAGAAATCATCTGTTTATTGACAGTCGGACTCAGAATCGGGAAACACTTCTGGACGTAATAAGGATGACAAAATAAATCTTACCTTATAGTTCATGAAGAGACATTAAGCGACATAGGAAAAAGGTTGTACACAAAATGCGCACTTGTCCGGAAGGATAAGTGGGAGATTGAAAGGAATGGTGTCCTTCGAATAAGTGTACTATTCCGTTAGTGGGTTCAGAATTATTATAAAGCTAATATATTCAGTGAGGTCAAGTGATCGGAATGCCTAGGTGGAGGCCGCTTCCGATCAGTAATATTAATGAATAATTAATATTATAGCTTAATCTTGACTGAACCCTTCGGGTCACACCCAAGCATTCAACAAACCGAACCGACGAATTAATTCGCAAGGAATTAATGAGTCGACCGAGTAATATTTATTTAGACGTCGGAAATTCGAGCTTAGAGCGTCGAAACCGAGCGTCGGAAATCGAGTCAAAAAATAGTGAAAGACGAGACGAGAAATAGTAATAAATCAACAACAGACCAAAATACCCCTAGCATCGGAATGCCCAAGCAAACCGAGTGCTAAGGGTGTATGGCCTTGCATGGTGGCTAGCATGCGCACCAAGCCGAGCCTAGGATGGCTGGTGCGTGCTAGCGCACCCATGCTAGCATCGCAAGGCTAGGCGCTGCCTAGTGCGTGCTAGCATGCTAGGCGCAGCCTTGAGCGCGCAATGACTAGCAAGACATGCCACAACAAGCTGCAGCAGCTAGCACGCTAGGCGCGCCAGCTCGCCACAGCTAACAGCAGCATGGCTAGGCCATTGCTTGCTGCCTAGCAGCGTTGGCAAAGGCACAAGGAAAACAGCAGCCAGCACAAGCATGCTGGGCTTGCTGGCCAGCAGCGCCTGGCAGCCCGCATGCGAGTGCGGGGCCTGCTGGGCGTGGCTGCCACGGACAGCAGCACATGGCAGCCCACCTTGGCTGCCTTGGTGCCCAAGGGTGGGTGCCATGTGGCTAGTGGTCCTTGAGTGTGTGTGGAGTGAGGTGGCCGGTTATGGAGAGGGAGTGGGGAGCAAGTTTTGTCCCCCCCCCCCTTCTCCAAGTGGTCCTCACCTAACCACTCACATGAGCTTGCCACTTGTTGATTTATTACTAGCTTGATTATTAATTTTATTTTAGCTTTAAAATAAAATGAAAAAATCATACTATCCCACATTGATGGGAGAGTAAATGATACTCCCATCATTTCCTATAAATACCCAAGTATGGGCATTGGGAATGATGCTTGAGTAAGAGTTTAAAAAGGCATCACAATTAGTGAAAACCTTTGAACTCAATATAATTGCTCGGGTTTTATTGGTCGGGTCTTGCTAACCCCAAGACATTAGACCTAGTCGGTTTTGTTGGTGCGGGTGGACTTCGTTGGAGGTCTCCGTGTGAGCGGGCCTTGAAGCTTTCAAGTAAGAGCTCATTTTGGAGCGAAGCACGCGTCAAAGGTAATTAGCTTATCTTAATCTTGTGATTAATTTAATTATGTTAATGATTTTATTTATTGCGAGTGCGGTCTTGTTTTTGGGTTTGTTTCCGCGGTGAGTCGGACTCACCAAACCCCAACAGGGCCTTCCTGTCTTTTTAATTTAGCTGCCTAGCGCTTTTCTGTTTCTTTTGCGCTCTGCAATGGTTCAGCAGGGACTTTGTTACATTTTGTCCTTCCTTCTTTATTTGCTTCAAGTGTTTGCGCGTTGTGTACTTCACTTGGCTTTGACCAAAGGCTTCGTCTACGTGCTGGTTGACATATTTGATTGAGCGTTATTTGACTAATCCTTGCTGAGACTTGTTTGTGTCGATCAGCTTTTTGCTTATTTCGTCTGTGTCATCAGCTTGCTTTGCTGTGACTTATTTGTGTCGTTCAGCTTATTTATGCTACGACTTGTTTATGTCGTTCGGCTTGTTTATGCTGCGACTTATTTATGTCATTCAGCTTGTTTATGCTACGACTTATTTATGTCATTCAGCTTGTTTATGCTGCGACTTATTTATGTCATTCAGCTTGTTTACTACCTTCTTATTTCTTTTTGTAAGGGCTTACTGCTTGACTGTCTTCTCCTTTCCTCTCCCCCTCGAAAAGATGGGCTGAATGGGACTAAGAGAACCTTAGTGTTGCCCATGTAGCTCATCTTCTTCTTTTCCTCTCTCCTCCCCTGCTCAAGCTGAACATGTCAGGCTCCCCTCAAGCGTCCTCAAGGTGGTGCCCTGTTTTGCTTTTTGCAGGTGAAGTGAGGTTTTAAGGAGGGATGCTTTCACTTTGTCATTTTGCACTAGAGTGCTTCTTGCCTCTAACGCTTTATTATTATTCTTGTTTGATTTCTGCATGTTAGTATATGATTCTTGGGAATACTATATTAAACAAATTTATGCAATATACTCCTCACGCAGAGGCTTGTATTTCATTGAATAAAAATCGCTCAAATGCCTTAGTTAACATTACATGGACTGAATAAAGGTTTATCGACTTGAAACAGCTATGTTTCAGGCTATTTAAACAAAATATTTCTTTAACACATCAGCATTGAAACTATTTCTTAAGACCTAACCTTCTTGATCTGCGGGAACGCGCCTGGTCCAACCTGCTCGTGGATGATGAAAAGGCCTTCCCAGTTTTGCTGTCAGCTTTCCATGCTGATTTCCTCTTCGAACTGCTGCTGTCCTACTAAGGACTAAATCTCCTGGCAGGAGCTCCCTGTGCTTGACCCTTTTGTTGAAATCTTTTGAATCCTGCTCTTTTGGGCTGCCAGCTTAAGGGTTGCTTTTAGCCTTACTACTGGCAGGAAGTCTAGCTCTTCCAGCATGCGCTTTTCATTTCCTTGCTGCTCAAAGTACTGTATCCTCAGGCTAGGGATTTGCACTTCCATAGGGACAACTGCATCAACCCCGTAGGCCAGGGTGAAAGGGCTTTTACCGGTTGACTCCTTCTCAGTGGTCTATTTGCCCAGAAGACCTCTGGGACTAAGTCTGTCCACAGGCCCTTGCACTCCTCCAGCTTCTTTTGTAGGGCTGTCAGGATCAGCTTGTTTCTGCTTCTGCTTGGCCATTGCTCTACGGGTGGCAGACTGAGGCACTTGCATACTTGGTGCCCATATCCCCCAGGTAGTCCTTTATGGTGTCACAGTCAAATTGGCACCCATGATCAAACACTATGCACTGTGGCACCCCAAATCTAGTGATGATGCTCTTCCATATAAATGTTCTGACCTGGGTTGCCTTTATGTACTTGGTGGGATCAGCTTCTATCCTCTTTGTAAAGTAATCTATTGCCACAATGAGATAATTCCTGCCCCCTGACCCAGTGGTGAAAGGTCTCAATATAGCCATTCCCCACTGAGCGAACGGGATCGGGCTGAGGATTGGAGTCAGATCATTTGCTGGCTGATTTATGACTAGTGAATATTTTTGACACTTGTCGCATTTTTTAACATATGCTAGTGTGTCTTGCGTGAGAGTTGGCCAGTATGCCCTTCTTCTAAGGACCTCTACTCCTAATGCTTTCCCGCCGATATGGTTGGCACATATTCCGGAGTGGGCTTCTTCCATAATGCCCTCCTGCTCCCATTCTGGAATACACCTCAGCAGTGGCTTTGAGAAGCCTTTCTTGTTGAGCTCTCCATTCATCACTACATACCAATTTCCGTCTTTCTTCACCTTTTTAGCCTGTACTTCATCATCGGGCAGCGAGCCATGAAGTTTGTACGACAAGATGTCTGAGAACCAGGCTCTCTGACTCCCAACGCAGTTTACCTGCTCCTTTTCAGCGATGCTGCTTTCCTTTAACACTTCGACCATCACTGTTCTTGTGAGGCTTTGTAAGGTGGAGATGGCTAACTTAGATAAGGCGCCAGCCTGAGAGTTTCCTGCTCTAGGGACCAAGTCTATCTGGAAATGGACTAGCTGGGCTGCCAGTTCTTTCACTTTTGTTACATATTTCATCATAGTGGCTTCCCTTATCTCATACGCCCCCTGCATTTGGCTGGCAACGAGCTGAGAATCAGTCTGCAGGTGTACTTTGCAGGCTCCGGCTGCGAGGCTCATACACAAGCCTGCCAGCGTCGCCTCGTACGCTGCTTCATTATTAGACGCTTTGAACTTGAACTTTATGGCATACTCAAATACGTTTCCTTCTGGAGACGTCATTATGACTCCTGCCCCACTCCCCGTTTGGGCTGAGGATCCATCCACATCCACCTTTTAGACCCCAATGTCATCCTCTTTCTCCGCATAGGAGGCTTCCACTATAAAGTCTGCTAAAGCTTGTGCCTTGATTGCTGCTCTAGGCTTGACCTCAAATTCACACTCAGAAAGCTCGATTGCCCACTTTAAGAGTCTACCCGATGCATCCATCTTTTGTAACGCTTTCTCCAGCGGGTGGTTTGTGAGGACCTATATTATATGCGCGTCAAAATATGGTTTTAGCTTTCTTGCTGCTGTGACCACTGCGAAGGCTAGCTTCTCTACCAGGGGGTATCTTTGCTCTGCCTTGGTCAGCACGTGGCTTACGAAATATATCAGCCTTTGTTGCTTATGTCTTTCTACCAGCAGAACGGCTGCGATTATCTATATTGACGCTGAGATGTACAACTGCAGTTTTTCCCTCAGCTCCGGGCTGATCATTGTTGGGAGCTTATTCAGATGCTCCTCAATACCCTCAAAGTCTTCTTTCTCCTTAGTCTCGTACTTGAATTCTCTGTTTCCTTTCAATAGCTGATAGAATGGCAAGGCTTCTGCTGACTTGCTGATGAATCTGGTCATTGCGACCATTCTGCCTGTCAACCGCATGATATCTTTGATGCTCTTAGTCTCGGGCAGACTGAGGACTGCTTCGACCTTTTCTGGGTTGGCATCTATACCTCTCTCGCTGATCAGAAAACCCAAGAACTTTCCCGAGCTCACTCCAAAGACGCATTCTTCAGGTTGAGCTTGATTTTATACTTATTTAGGGTAGAAAATGTTTCCTCCAGATCCATGATATGTCCAGCCTGCGTGACGCTCTTAACAATTGAGTCGCCAACGTATACTTCCACATTTCTTCCCTTCTGGTGAAGGAACACTCTATCCATTGCCTTCTGAAAAGTTGCTCCAGCGTTCTTCAGCTCGAAGGGCATAGCTATGTAATTATACACTCCCCCTTCATTAATGAATGCAGTTTTCTGCCTGTCTGGCTCGTGCAGGCTGATCTGATGTTACCCTGAGAAGGCGTCCATGAAGCTTAGCAGGGCGTGCCCGCTGGTTGAGTCTACTAGTTGATCTATCTGTGGCAGTGGGTAACAGTCCTTCGGGCAGGCCTTATTAAGATCCGTGAAATCAACACACATTCTCCATTGGCCATTTTCCTTCTTCACCATGACCACGTTGGCTAACCATTCTGGATAGTCACAGGGTTCAATAAATCCTGCTTCCAAGAGTTTTTCCACCTCTTCCTGGATTGCCTAGTTTTTCTCCGTGGAGAAGCTTCGCTTTTTCTGCCTGACTGGCCTAATATCCTCCTTCACATTCAGCCTATCCACCATGAATGTTGGGTCAATTCCGGGCATTTCATCTGTGGAAAATGCAAAAATGTCTTTATTCTTTCTCAGCATCTCTATAAGGTGCACCCCTACTCCTAGATCAATGTCTTTCCCAATTTTCACCGTCCTCGAGGGATCACCTTCTGTGAGCTCGACTGTGACATGCTCCCCGCTGGGAAGTGGTCTGGCCATTTCTTCTTTTGCAGGCTCGAAGTTTTCCATTGCCAACTTTTGTTTATCTTTTTCCCTGTGATACTCTTCACGCTTCCTTTTCCTCGACTTCCTCTCAGGTTGCTCAGGGAGCCTTCTCTCGGAACCGGACTGCTGTCTGGTTTTGGCAGGCTGCTTTAAGGCAGTTATGTAACATTGTTGGGCTGTCTTCTGGCTTCCCCTGAGCTTTGCTGACCGACCCTCATTAGTTGTGTAAGCCATGGCCAGGTGGTGAGTGGATACCACCCCGCCTATCTTGTGGATGAGCAGTCTTCCCATGATTACATTGTAGGGTGAGGGGGAGTTTATCACGAGAAATTTTCTTGGACATCACACCTTCTTGACCTCTCTCCTACCCAGACTGAGAGTTCGATTATGCCTTCTAGGGTAAGCCCCGAGCCATTGAACCCTGTAACCTCGTAGTTTACTCTCTTCAGGTCTTTTCTGTCCAACTTCAGCTCATTGAACGCACTGATGTATACGATGTTGGCTGAGCTGCCTCCGTCTATTAGTATTTTATCCACCTCCCAGTTTGCAATTCTCATTGTCACCACCAGCGGGTCATCATGAGGGTAAATTATGCCCTTCTGGTCATACTCGTCAAACGTGGCTCATGGCTGCGGGGGAAGAGGTGGCCATCTACGCTTATCATTGTCGTTTATTTGGTGTATCATTGCCCGCAGGTCAGCCCGCGCTCTATTAACTGTCCCCCATGTACTGGACCCCCGCTGATCACGTACACCCTGCCCTCTGGCTTTCCATCTCTATCCTTGTCTCCAGCTGGGCCTCTATGACCTCCTCTGTGGTCAGCTCGGCCCGCTTTATCCTCCTCCCATCTTCTAGGAGGGTCATCACGCTGCTTAAATTGACTCAAGTATCCTCTCCTGACTAAGTCCTCTATGTTGTCCTTCAAGTGCGTGCATTCTTCAGTGGTGTGGCCATAGTCCCTGTGAAAGTCACACCACTTACTAGTATCACAACTCCTGTTTACCATCCTTGGAGGCCTCTGCCACTTATCATCAGCCTTATTTACGCTGAATTTGTGAGATCTGGAATGGGTTAGTGGGGTATACTGATCAAACTTCCCAGGCCTTGGCCCTCTCCTTGGATCGGACCTTCTCAGTCCCACTGCCCTGTCCGCTTCTTTGCGGTTTTGCTCAGCCCAGCTTGGCTGGTCCACCCTGGGTGTGTTCTCTGCCCGGGTGACCTCTGCCCACTAAACTCAGTTACATGTTGCTTTCCTACCCAGCATTGCTCTATCAGTCTCGTCTGCTTTAATGAACTCATGCGCTTTACCAAGCGCTTCAGCGAGCATTTTGAGGCTCTTATGCCCCATATATGCTCTGAATGGTGACCCTGGCAGTAGGCCACTCTGCATTGCTAACATCGCTACCTCCTGGCTCATATTTGGAATAGTTGTTGCCTCCTTGTTGAATCTGGTGATGAACTCCCTCAGGGGCTCATCCTTTCCCTGAACCAGGGACATCAGCTCGGTTGTCATCTTGGTTCTATCCACCAAGGTTATGAAATGCTCCATGAACATTCTCTTCAGCTGGTTGTACGAGTATACAAAACATTTGGGGATGGCGCCGTACAATTCCGCTGCCAGCCCCTCCAGAGTTGGTGGGAAAGCCTTACATCAGACTGAGTCTGTCATGGTGTAGAGTACCATATGATTCTCGAAAGCTGATATGTGGCTTTTGGGTGTTGTGGTTCCATTGTACTTGCAGCTCGGCATCTTCACCTTCTCCATGGGTTCTTCCAGAATCTCCCGATAAAATGGCGAATCATCTAGAACAACCTTGAATCGCGCTCGTTTGTCTCTCTCTGGGCTCGGTCCTCGCTCTGCGGCCGGTGACCTAATGTGAGGGACCCGCTTCTCCGGGCTGATTCGAGCGGGGGTTATTTCCTCCACGCTCCATTCTCGATTCAAGTTGCAAGCTTCTAGCTCCAATACCTTTTTCCTCAGTTGAATGAGCTCTTTCTGCTTGGGGGTGAGAGTTGAGACTTCCGGCTTTTTCGCTGCGGGCTCCGCAACTGCCGTTGTCGGTGATGGGCTTGCCCCCTTACCCATATTGGTAAGGATCGTTGTCATTGCAGCCAGTTGTTCCTTGCTGCACTTAGAGAGGTTCTGCAGAATGGCTGGCATATTTACGGGCTGCGGTTTCTGGGTTACAGGTGCTGAAACAATAAGCTCATTGTTTGCGCCTATTAACGGCATTTCGTACTTGAAAATAGAGCTGGATCCTACCAGATCTACTGGTTTCGCCGCTGCTTTAGCAGTAGCTGATGTCGATCCAATGGGGTTGGATTTCTGTGAGATGGTCGATTTGGGGTTTCCGGTGGATCCTTTTGGATCGCTGGTTACTGGGGGTGTTTTTTGTGGTGTTTGGCTGGTCTCATTAGTTTTGGACGTGGGTTTTTCTACGGTTTCTTCTCCGGCCATGGTGGTTAGTTAACTAGTCCCTAGCTCAGTTAGTGAACCTCAGGTTAGATGATCCTATCCCCTCCTTCTAGTGCCAATTGTTCCAGGTGTGGATCCAAGGGTTCTGCTGGGTGAGCTGGGTCCCGTCAACAACCTACACAAGGAAGCACACGTAAATTGCCCTCGGGGGTGGCTCGAGGAACCCCCCTCCGAAGCTTAAGTTAGAGAGTGTTTAGAGAGAGAAAGTGTACTTAGAGAGATGTAGAAAGTACAATAACTTGAGTGTCTAACCTCTTTTCCGCTATACTTTACCCTCTATTTATAGGCGTACTATCTCCTTCGTGGATAGTTTAGCCTGGTCAGCCCTGCGGGCTGACTCTGTCGGGCTGATGAGCCCTCCTTTAGTTGCTTATTCGGCGGTGAGTGTGCACCCTGGGGGCTGGGCGATAGTTCAGCGGGAGCTATCCTATACAATTACAATAGCCGTTAATAGATGAAAGTTGCTCGAAGTCAAGGTCAGCGTTTTCTTGTTCGAGATGGGAGGCTCGGGATGCTTTGTTGTCTTGGAACATGGACTCGAGACGAGCCGAAGCGCCCTAAGCGGTGTCATCCTTGAGAAGGATGGTATTGACGAGATCGGTAGAAATTGAACCGTATCAAGGAAGGTTCCTCTACTTTTGTCCTGATCTTGTACTGCTGATTCTGTGTGAACTGTAATTGTACAATGCAGGTGGTGGAATGTTTTCATACCGTTGCAACAATGTTTTTTGTGCAATGATAGGACTAGTGGTCTATTTTATCTTTGTCTTGTAGTGACTATATATTGTCATGCTCTCTCTATTGTAAAGATCAGGTGGAACAAATATTTTGCTTAACCTAATATCAGACCATCTTCCTTCTACTCTCTCTCTTTTCTTCTCTATTCTCTAATAAAAAAACCCCCTTGCATCAAACTAATTTAGTCTTTATGGTATCAGAGCCACTGATGCAAAATCGGGTATAATATTGAAGTTCATTCATTCTCATTCTTTCTGCTGCTCTAAAAAAAACCAAATCTTTCTCCTGCTTTTATCCCTAAAAATCAAAGCTTTTTATCATGGCAATTGATACTAACAGCGTGGTATACTTGCACCCCAATGATGGTTCCTATTTCATCTCTGTTGATAAACTGACTGGTGCTGCAGACTACAGATCATGGAGAAGATATATGGAAATTGCACTCGCCTCAAAGAAGAAGATAGGCTTTGTTCTGGGCACTGTTCTCATATCAACCTATGCTCAAGATCCTGTCAAGGCAGACCAATGGGACACCTGCAACTCTATGGTAATTTCTTAGATTCATGCTTGTCTTTCTGATACTATCAAAAAAATTTGTGTTATATGGTAACTCTGCTAGAGAAACATGGGTTCAACTTGAAAAGAGGTTCTCAATGGGAAATGGATCTAGGAAATATAAGTTGAACAAAGATCTATATCAACTTAAACAAAATAACAACTCTGTTAATCAATATGACACTGCTATGTCTAGTTTATGGGAGGAACTAGACTCAATGAGTGCTCTTCTTGTAATCTCTGAACCATCTGCAGATGTTAGAAATTTGTTGAATGTTGTAGCTAGAAATCAGGAAGAAAGTAGGTTGTTTCAGTTCATGAATGGCTTAGATGATCATTTTGGTGCTATGAGAAGTCCGATGCTCATGCTAACACCATTGCCTACAGTAGAATCTGCTTGCTCTATGTTGGAGCAAGAAGAGAGTCAGAGAGAAGTTTTGCTTCCTCGAGCTGACCCTGATGTTTCTGCTATGTATAGCAGACAGAATCCTGAGAGAACTAGCATCACATGTTCTCATTGTGGTGGAAAAGGCCATCTTCAAAGCAAGTGTTGGTACTTGCATGGATTCCAAAGAAACCATTCAAACCCAGACTTAACCCATTCTATAATGCAGGGAAAGGCAAGATATCTGACCAAGCCTGGAATTCAAAACCTTCACCCAGACTTGCAGCAACTGCACAGTCTTCTTAGGGTGGATCTGGTAATGTAACCTTCACTCAACAACAGTTTGAGCAATTTCTGAAGCATTTTCCTTCTCCTAATGCTGCCAAGCATGGTGTCTTGTCACCTTGCATCTTCTCTCATACATGGGTGGATAATTGATTCTGATGACTCAGATCACATGACTTGTGATCTGAGCAAGTTTATAGATCCCAAAGTAGCTGCTGATCTTCCCAGAATAACTTTGCATACTGGTGACTCAACTTCCATTTCTCATACTGGGAATGTAAATCTATGTAACTCTTTGACTCTACAAAACGTGCTCTGTGTGCCTAAAGTTAGGTACAATCTTCAGTCTGTACCAAAATTGATCAAAGACTCACGATATGAGGTAAACTTCTTTGGAACTCACTGTGTGATCAGGGATGATGTCTCTAAGAAGATTAGAGGTGTTGGTAAAGCTAGGAATGGTCTCTACTACCTAGTTGATAAACCCTTGATTGGAGATAAAGATGTTGTCACTTGTCTTGCTGCTAATCACAATGCAGCTGTTCCTTTTGCTATTTGGCATCACAGATTGGGACATGCTTCCCTGGGCAAATTGCAGCACATACCTTGTGTTAAAAACACCATTAAGAAGAACAACCAAATATGTATCACTTGTCCAATGGCAAAATTTACAAATTTGCCATACCAGCTAAGTGAGTCACATGCTGATAAGCCATTTGAGCTTATACATATGGACATCAGGGGTCCATATAAGGTGTGTACTAGGGAGAAGTAAAGGTATTTTCTCACAATAGTTGATGACTATTCAAGAAATACATGGCTGTATTTACTGCAACATAAATCTGATGCCCTAAGTCAACTGAAAATTTTCTCCAACTATGCTCAAACTTACTTTAACTCCAAAATAAAGTTTTTGAGATCTGATAATGCTTTGGATTTTGATGATAGGCCTTGTCAAGAATTTTTCGCTGAGTTGGGAATTGTGCACCAGACTTCCTGTGTTGACAGACCTCAGCAAAATGCCAAAGTTGAAAGAAAACATAGGCATGTGTTGGAGATTTCTAGAGCTCTCAGATTCCAGGCAGGACTTGCATTGACATACTGGGGTGAATGTGTCATGACTGTTGTACACATCATCTACAGATTGCCATCTTCTGTTTTGAAAAACAAAACACCATATGAGATGCTATTTAAAACCTCACCCAACTATGATCACATGAAAGTTTTTGGCTGTCTAGCTTTTGCAGCAAATCCCTCATTGGTCAAAGATAAGTTTGAACCAAGAGGTGTTCCCTGTGTCTTCATGGGATACCCAACAACCCAAAAGGGATACATATTTCTTAATCTGAAAACAAAGAAAATCTTTGTATCAAGGGATGTTACATTTCATGAAACCATATTTCCCTTTCAACTTTAATCTCTTGATAAGTACATGAATCTATACCCAGCTGTCCTGAACCCAAGTCTGCAAGTATCCTTGTCCACTCTGAATCCTTGTGAATCTTGAGGATCATCAGAATGAGACAAACACAGATGATCCAATTCCACCCTTATCACCTAACCAAACACACACAAACAATAACCATGTTAAACCTGCCAAAGCCCATACCCAAAACACACAAACACAACCTGACTTTGAACCCGAAACTAATCTCAAACACAGCACCATGATCTCAAAACCTCCTACTTGGTGGAAAGATTATGTCCCACCTAAACCAAGAAAAGATCAGCAAATTGCCAATTTTGCTGATCAGTGTGTAAATGCTGAGTTTCACTGCTTTCTGTCTACTCTTACAGAACACGATGATCCTGAGCATTTCAAGCATGTTGTTTCACAAGAACACTGGGTAGCTGCAATGAATCTAGAACTAGAACAATGTGAGAAGAATGGTACATGGCTTGTGACTACTTTACCACCAGGAAAAAGAGTTATAGGAAGTAAATGGATTTACAAAACAAAATATAAATCCAATGGAGAAATTGAAAGACACAAAGCAAGAATAGTAATGCTTGGATGTAAACATGAATATGGATTGGATTATAAAGAGACATTTGCTCCAGTTGCCAAAATGACAATTGTGAGAACTCTTTTAGCTGTTGCTTCAATGAAAAACTGGACAACGGTCCAAATGGATGTAACAAATGCCTTCCTTCATGGTGACTTGAAGGAAGATGTATACATGGCTTTGCCTAAAGGTTACACTGGTTATGGGAGTAGGGTAACTGTAAATGCTGATGGCTCAAGACCTAAGGGTGATAATTTGGTGTGTAAATTGGTCAAATCACTGTACGGTTTGAAACAGGCACCCAGACAGTGGTTTTCCTAACTGTCATCTACTCTGATCTCTTTTGGGTACAAACAATCCAGAGCTGATTACAGTTTGTTTGTCAAGGATAACAACAGCTCAATCACAGCAGTTCTAGTCTATGTAGATGACTTGCTTATTACTGGCAATGAAACAGAAGAAATCCTAACCTTGAAATCTCTCTTGTTTTCTCATTTTCACATGAAAGATTTGGGAAAACTAAGATATTTTCTTAGTTTGGAAATTGATCACTCTGATGAAGGAATATTTATTTCCCAAAAAAAATATACTCTTGATCTGCTGAAGGATCAAGGCATGCTGAATGTCAAGCCCTTAAAGCTACCCATGGATTCTCATCTAAAGCTCAGAGCTGATATAAGCACTCTCCTTAACAATCCAGTGCCTTATCAGCACTTACTAGGCTAGCTCATCTATCTAACAGTTACAAGACCAGAAATTGCTTTCTTAGTACAAGTCCTCAGTCAATTCATGCACTCTCCCACAACCACTCACATGCAAGCTGCAAAACGACTACTTAGATACTTGGCTGGTACTGCAAATCAAGGAATTTTGTTAGCTTCTTCTTTTGCTACTCAGTTAACAGCCTACTCAGACAGTGATTGGACCAGCTTTCCAATCACCAGAAGATCCACTACCAGGCTACTGTATTCTGCTTGGTCAATCTCCTGTCTCTTAGAAAGCAAAGAAACAGACTGTAGTGGCAAAATCAACAGCAGAGGCTAAAATCAGAGCAATGTCTCTGACTGCCTGTGAGGTTATATGGCTAAAATACATGCTCAAAGATCTTGGTATATCACACTTAACTCCAACTCTTCTAAAGTGTGATAACCAACCAACTATAGCTATTGCAGCAAACCCAGTTCTACATGAGCGCACCAAACATGTAGGAATTGATTGCCACTACGTCCGGGATATGGTCAACAATGTCACCTTAGTCACTGAGCATGTTCCATCCAAAGATCAACTCGCAGATATCTTAACCAAGATCCTCAGCGTCAAGCAACATAATGAACTTTTACTCAAGCTGGGCGTTCAGTCTGCACCTCACACTCAGCTTGAGGGGGGTATTAAATAAGGTTCCTCTACTTTTGTCCTAATCTAGTACTGCTGATTCTCTATGACCTGTAATTGTACAATGCAGGTGGTGGAATGTTTTCATACCGTTGGAACAATGTTTTCTATGCAATGATAGGGCTAGTGGTCTATTTTATCTTTGTCTTGTAGTGACTATATATTGTCATGCTCTCTCTATTGTAAAGATCAAGTGGAACAGATATTTTGCTTAACCTAATATCAGACCATCTTCTTTCTGCTCTCTCTCTCTCTTTTCTTCTCTATTCTCTAATCAAAAAACCCCTTGCATCAAACTAATTTACTCTTTAAACCGTAAATCCAATTTAGGACTGCGGCATCTAAACGCTTCTATAATGCAACGTCTGCAGATTTGGAGGCTTCATATGCGGCAATGTCTTTCTCATCCGTAGGAGGAATGATGTGATAAATAAGGTCATGAACCTTACATAGAACTTTAAAGAGTGCGGCCCAAGAGTGGTACATACCATGGTTGGCATCCAAGGTGATCGGGATAAGGGACTTCACGTAAGTGATAGTCAAGGCAGGATGGTATTTTGTGGTTTCAGCTATGGTGAATGTGCAGCGGAAGTAGAGAAAAGAAGAGAAGGTAGGGTCATTTGATAGGGAGAAGGAAAGCCAAGGATTGAAACCCTAAACTGATACCATGAAAGATTATGATCGTTAATCATTGTCATTAGCAGTGTATAGTTTATATACAAAATACAATTAGCAATCTAAGGCTATAATTAAAGTAACAAACTAGGAAAGGATAAATCCTAAATATACACTTATCTAATATAACAAAGAGATATATACGAGAATATATTAACATATATTCTAACAAAAATGCCACTATTCAACCTCTTCAAAGAAGTAGCTTGAAAATCAGATCGGAGACATAGCTTGAGGTACTCATTGTGGCTCTTGATTGCGATCAGATTATTATCCTCTTGCAGTATACAATACTACCTGGAGAAAATAAAAGCACAAAAGCGTGGCCAATTATACTTCAACTGGGGCACTAGTGCTATTCAAACAAGGGGGTCAAGACAACCAGTTTGAAGCCAAATTCGTCTACGCATCAAATTCTACCAAGAAAAAATTTGGCTTCATCACGGGAAGTCTAATTGTTCCTTTTGTGGCAAACTAATAGGAAAATTCAGTAGCTGCGTTAAGCACAATGAGTGGATAAAGGTAAAGTGACCCATAGTGGTCCACTGCTAACCTAGTACATTCAAATGCGTCTAATCTGAGGAGTATCATCTCCATAGATCTACAGTAGCAGACCACCTTAGAGACTGCAAACAGGGTCGTCGCTGGACCAGGGCAGGTGGGGCAACCGCCCTGGGCCTAATATTGTAATGCTCTGTTTTTGTTATTAAAGGGCCTACAAAAAAAATGAACCTTTGATCTCCATATGATTAGATTAACAACTTCCATAATGATAAAAAAAAAAAAAAAAAAAAAAAAAAAAAAAACTTCAAATCTTCAATTCCCTTGATTTTCGTTCCCAATATTTAGTTTTTTCCTAAATATGCTCTAAGACATCAATTACATCCCACTGAGACTTTTCCAATACAAAAAATTTAATTTTTTTTCTATACAAAAATCCCTAATAAAATCAATAAACAATAATATT